TTTGGGGTCAAAAAGCCACGAAAGTGAAGTAGTACAGTCGCTGCTATTTCTATGCAAAGCTAAAATGTGTACAAGATAAGTGCGGTTAACTGCTGATAATGCTATCTTCTAAGCTTTGGTATGCTAATTTAATGCATGTAATGGGACAAGGAAACAGCACTGGTTTTGGCTGAGTCCTAAACAAATGCAATCAAGCCTGCTGATAAATTCTAGTTGACCTGTTCCATGTTGAAGTATCTCTTTGAAGTTTCTTTTGTTGGAGAAGTCTGACTTTCAGGTCCATAGCAGAGAAACCTAGGAGACTGAGATGTTCCCACCCCACCCCCCATGCTTCAGAATATTGCCATTTTTAAAAATGCAGATTCAAGTTTGTCTATTCTGTGTAGACAGCAGGACTTACACAGGCATTAAATTGGCATAGTAAAGCTAGAAAAATTGTCCAGGGTGGGTGGGTGAGATGTAAGAATAAATACAAATAATGATATGAAATTATTTGGAGATTTTTACATGTATTTCCTTGGTCATAGGGCTGTTGGGTAGGATAAGGAACCACGTTTTTAATGGGCCATTATTATTTAGTATTCTCCATAGGTCTGATCCATTGCACTGACAGCACAGCAGCCACACATGGAAAAATCTTTGTGGGCCATATTTCCCCCTGAAATAGGCATTCATGGGGTGTGTATGCAGGTACCACATCCAGTCATTATGGGGAATGGGGTGCCTGTGACTGATATAATGGACTGATCCAATGATTGCTTCTGTGTGTACAGTTAGGAAGGGGAGTGAAAACTGAGCTATTGCACCCTATAAAGGTCCCCCCAGGCACTGCATCCACAAAGAACTGGATCCTTAAAAATTCAGTCTGTTTGGTACTGTATTCCACCAGGCTGTGATTGGTTACTTACTATCTACTTTGACCGAACTAAACCTAGAAATCTTAGGGGGTGGGACTGGAGCAAGGCAAAAAAAAAAAAAGCCATCTGGGTATAATGTTCTCAGCTCCCCCTCAGTAAGCTGATTAGGGACAATCAGCTCCCTTCACAGCTGCTTAAATTTGTCCCACTGAGAAGGAACAAGCATCAGGAGAAGGAAGAAAGGCATTTGTATGAGCAGAAAGTGGAACTAGCTGGAGGAGGAGAAAGAAGGAAAAACAGGGAACGCCACAACATTTCAAGCACATTAGGTATTATTTGGTGTTAACATTATAATTATTTAAATGGCTTTTTGCTTAGCAGCACAATTCTAAACCGTTCAAGAGATTTTGTATTTCTATACCAAGGCAAAGAAAGCTGCCTCCTTCTGGAGAAAGGCTCTGAGACCACACAACCATTATTTGTTACATTTGGTATCAAGCCTTCCCCCCAAATGATGCTCTTCCAAATGATGCCGGTAAAAGATGTTGACCAAAGTGTCGCTCAAAAAGCCCATAGGCCATATTCCAACCAAGTGAAAGTATTCAAGGAGGGAACAGAGCAGAGCCTGGGAAAGGTGTGGTGTAGCCTTGGGAGATTTGATCATCTGTCTGAGATAGTGAGAAACAATGTTGGACAGAATGGATGCCTAGGATGGCAGATCCTGGGAGAAGGAAAGTAGCTGCAAGGTGCTGGAGGACAGAACAGTGTGTGCCATGTCTGGGCAGGTTACCCAGACAAAAATACCCTCCTCTTGGTCTCAATGATATGCTCCAAAGGAATTTAGCACCAGCTTGGCTGCAAGAGTTGCAGGAAGGAGGCATACAAGACACCATCCAACAATCTTAAGGACTCCACTCAGGGTCTGTGTAGGCCGTTACATCCTTGCTTTTCATCGTACAGTATATGTAAATGCATTGTGTGAATACAATGCCACTGGAAATCAAAGTCACTTTTCATGTAATTGCCCTAACATGGTAAATGAAATGTGCATGCAAGAAACCTGGAACAAAGTGGGCCCACTTATCCAGGAGGGAGAAAAAGTGAGGAGGGGGAAAGTCAGGTATGTCACTTAAGCTCCTTGGAGGGAAAAGTGGGATATAAATGCAACAAATAAATTTTTAAACAAAACAGAACGCTGCTGTATTGTAAACTGTTTCTGTTTCCCCTTCACCAGCAACCACTAGATGGTAGTGTTTGATCATCTTTTTGAGATACTGAGAAACAATATTGTTCACTGGTTACTATTTTGGACTAGCCAGTTTCCTTTTTATTATAGGGCAGTTCAGTTGTTTGCCAATTTTTCTTTGTGTATGTGACCTTCAATAACTCCAGAATTATCTGCATTTTGTTTATCAGTCTTAAGCTGCAATCCTAAATATGAGCACTTGTAACCATTCCCCTTTAAGTCAGTAGGACTTGCTTCCAACAGCATGCTTAGGATCACACAACTGCACCTTGACTATATGTGTACGCATACCTAGGCTCTTCTAGAAGAGAGTGGCCTGCTTTAAGGCACATAAATTTATGATTTTGAGGTCAATGTTTACTTCAGGGCAAATCTTTCTGTATGTTAGACAGAATTCAATTTGTTGGTCCAGATCCTTCATATTTATGAAAGGCTGGGAGAATATTTTATTATATAAATCCTTACAGAGGTCCAGTAGGGGAATTTCTGCACAACAATACCTAAGGATCTTGCCATACATATTACTAAAAGATGTAGCATGTTCTATATGTGCCAACTCCCTGGGGCCCTAGTGGAGCTAGTTGCTCCGGCACCCAGAGCCGGCACTCCACCTGGGGGGTAGGGATAGCTGCCCGTGGGGGCAGGGCTAGCATCCCAGGGGGACGCAGCAAGCATCCCAGGGGTGCGCCGCCTGCATCGAGCGTCCAGGGAGGTGCATCTCAGGGGGTGCACCGCCCATGGAGAGCGTCCGGGGGGGCAATGTCACACACACACCCAGATGACACCTGGGGCAGGCTGCACCCACCGCATCCACCTTCCTCCGCCTCTGGCCCTGGGTGCCCAAACCCACAAACTCCCCATGAAGTGGCCAGGCACCCACAAATTTTGGTGCCAGGGCCATGCCTGGCACCCACAGCCACAGGGCCAAGCTGGCACTCCTGGCATGCTCAGTCCACATTTTGTGTTTCCATACAGTATAATTTTTCACATCAATGTTTATACTTCTACAATCTTGGGATTGATACAAGTCTGCTAATGCCCCTCTCTTGTACTCTGGCATTTTGGCTGCATAATTAGAAATAAGAAGGAATTGTTATTCTTTGCTATAATACTTTCAGACTAGCACAATAAAGTTTCACAAACATTTGATTTCTGTCATGTGATATTATGTTCACATTGCAGTGACGATATCCATTTGCTTTTTGGAAATATTGAAATGGATATGGGCTTCTAAAGTTACTGAAAGCCATATGGCTATTAAATATAATTAGATTAAAGAGACTATATGACATGAAATAAAGCCTGGGATGCAAACAGAGATGTATCTTTGAACTGCTGATCATTCACAATTTTCCCCCTCCCAATACCAAACTGATTTTGAAAGTCAAGGGAGCTTCAAAGCAAGATGAAATTTCCTTTAGTTTCAAAACCAGTTTGGTATTTGGGGGAGGGGAAGGGAACCAAACCTTAAAACTTAGACACATATATGTCTGGGTAGGCTTGCTGAAATAAAAAAAAATTAAAGGTTTTAGCAGGCATCTAAAGCAGTATAATGAGGGTTCCTGCTTAGTGATAACAGGCAGGGTGTTTCACAGCAAAATAAACTCAATCTCACAGATGCAGAACCTTGTAAAAGTGCTCATTCCATAGACCTTGCAGTTGAGTAGGAATGTATGGGACACAACAATCTTCAAGGAAACTTTCATTGGCAGTAACTGCACTAAAAGCCAAGGAGTAGTGCTGTGATTGTTGGCATAAACACTGCAAATCTTTTAGTATAAATTATTAAGTTGGATATTACAGTAATTTAAGGTGAGGTGTTCTTCTCTCTACAAAATTCATTTCCCTGCAGTCAGGTGTAGTTGTACTAATGCCGTAGGCTGAGAAAGGGGTAGTCACAGAAACAAATAGCTAGCCTTTCTCTGTTTTGAAAGTATAAATAATTTATTTATTTATTATGCATCACATTTTTATTTATGGCTATAGGATAAGGTTTCTGCTGGAGTTTTCAACCAGCAGCTTTCAGGATTGTTGTGAGAACCTCATGTATGCCATTGTGAACTCCTTGGAGAAAGGATGAGATGCAAATTCAACCCACAAACTATTTATAACAAACAAGCGGCCATCCAAAAAGCACTCCTTCTGATATACTGGAAGGAATAAGTCTAAACCAGTCTTCCCTAACCAAGGTATCTTCCAGATATTTTGGACTGCACCTCCCATAAGTTCCTGTCAGTGCAAGTATGCTGGCTGGGGCTGATGGGAGTTGTAGTCCAAAACACCTGGAGACTGAAGGACGTAAGTTTGGGGGAAGCTAGCCTACACCATGGGGTCCAATTTGTGACCCTCCAGATGTTGCTGGACTACAACTCCCATCATCCCTGGTTATTAGCCACGCTGACTGAGGCTGATGGGAGGTGGAATCCAACAAATATCTACACGGTCACATTTTAGCTACTCCAGCATAAACATTATATTTAAAGAAGGCAACAACAAGCTGTTATGATCAGTTAAATATACAGCAGTGGAAGGGTTTGTTTTATTTTATGGAGGAGAGAGCTCTCACAGCAGGCAGTGATCCCTGCTGTGGGTAGACAGCATTGCAAGTACCCAAATAAGTACCCCATTTATCATCTGTGGGATATTTTGGAAGGGCTGCCCCGGAATCAGATCAATAACCCATGTCAATCCCTGTGATTAAAAACGTGGCCTGTGAAGGCTGGAATCTCAGGTGTTGTTATGATTCCTTGAAAAGGTGATCCTTTGAGGATTAAAAGAGAATTATGCTGCTTTTCCCGTTCGCCTTCCAAAGCGATTCTTTAATTGCTTCTTTGCAAGCGCAGGCACCACGTCGAATAAATTATACCCGTGCTCCTCCTGCCAAGAGGCGAAGTGGGCACTTTGAGATTTACCGTAACGGGGGAGAAGGAAAGCGAGGCGGGGAAGAGGCAATGTGGGCATTGCCCGGACCCAAGATGGCTGCCGCAGCGCCACGGCACTTCAAGACGGGTCACCTGTTGAAGTAAAAGCCCGGGTGTTTCATTGGCTCCGCAGGGCCGGGCCCTGAGCCGTTGACCGTCGCCAATCTAGCCCCCTGGGGCTGAGGGGGAAAGGGTGAACTGTAAGGGCCGGAGTGGCGGCGAGAGGCGGCTGGTCGGCGCCGCTCCCTCTGACTCGCCGCCGCCTCAGCTAGGCCAGGCCCGAGCCCGACGGGCTTCGTCCCCGCCCCCGGCTCCTCTCCTCAACTCGGCATGGAGGACCGGGGGGGCGGCGGCCGCAGGGAGAGACCGCGAGCCGGAGAAGCGGAAGAAGGCGAGGAGCCGGCAGAAACCGCGGCGGGAGAGGAGGAGGAGGAGAAGGCGGCGGCGGGAGTGACCGTGACGATTACGGAGCCAGAAGGCGGCGAGGAGGACGAGGACGACGACGAAGACGAGGCTGAGGAGCGGGACACGGAGTGGAGCTTCGTCGACATGGAGACGGTGTCCCTGCGCGACCTGCCCACGGCGCTCATCGCCTGCAACCTGCCCTTGCCCGTCTTCTTGCCCGATGGCCCCTGCAAGGTGGGTGAGGGGGCGAAGAGGGCTCCCGGAAGCCGGGCTGGGGTAGAAGAGAGTTTGGAAGTGGGGGGCGAAAGGGCCCGGAAAGGGCAGGCCCCGCCCGTTCCCGGCCAGCACCACCCGCGGCCGGCAGGGGCTCTCAGTCCGGGATGGCTGGCTCTCTGGGAGGCGAACACGGCTAATAAACAAACGGGTGAAATGAGGCACAGCGACGCCGGGGTCTCTGGTGGGGGGATGTGAGGCAGAGGGGGGTTCTGCAACAAGGCGCCCCCAGCTCTCTCCAATGAGTTCTCGTTCGTTCATTAGGCAAACGTTTTACATAGCAGGACCTCTTGCGGCCTGTGCTTGCGCTTCGTGAAAGGCAGAAGCTGTGCCCTGCTTCCTCTGGGGCGTATCTAAAGGGCAGCTGCCCATGCAGGATTCCTAGGATTCACCTCCCTGCTTTTTTTCAGGGCCGGCCCTAGCACTGGGTAGAATGAGGCAGTGGCCTCAGATGGCGGATGCTGTGGGCCAGGGAGGGCTGCTAAAGTGTTGGAGGATAGAGCTGTGTGGGAGGCACACACCACCTGCCCTGTGCCCCTGAATCTAGGCTCGTGCCATCCGTTGTGGTGTGGAGCGTGCTATCAAATTGCCAGTTCTGAAGTAAGATTCAGCTTCCGGGCCAGTCAGATTCCATATGTAGACTGGAGACAGGACACCATCTTGTCCTCGGAGAGCAAAAGGTCTTGGGCTGGCCCTGTGGAAAAGGGACTGGCCAAGGAACAAAAAGGACTGCAATTCCCTCCCTGCTTGTATTGTAGGGTTGCAGTGGTACATCTGCTACCCATTAAGTAGGACCTGATCCTGTGCAGACATGTGTTTAGTTTTTGTCCTGAGTACTGGCCCAAGGATTACTGAATTTTGCCAGCAATTATATCGGACAGCTCTGAGCCCTTACTTTTCAAAGGCTAAACATAATTTGTACAAAACCACTACTGTAGGCCTTTGGGGATGTTAATGAGGAAATCTGCAACAAAATGTGATGTACCCTTGGCCTGAGCCCCGTAGCACACTCCATCTGAGGGCTACTTGGACCAGTCTGCTGCTGTGATGCAATTAAGCTATTGGTAGTAGAAAGCTCCAAGCAGGAACAAGTGTATTGGACTAGAACCACTGATCTGTTCTAGGATGCCAAGGGTATCGTGACAGTTCTTGGTCTACCTATTTTTGAGTGATTCCTGTTTTTTGGGGGGGAAAGTATTTTTCTGCCTACTTAACTATGCAGATACCCCCTTTTGACATCTGTTGGTTGGCATAGAAGCACTTGCTTGGTTATTTTATTTCTAAAATTGATCCTCTGCATTTTTAGTGCCAATTCCCACATCACTCTTTGAGGAAATTATTGTCTCCAGTTGTTATCTTTGATTCATTGGTCTATATACAGAGCTTTATTGCCATCTCCCACATGTGACTTAAATTTTGATATTTCCAGGTAGTTCAAAGAGCCAGGCAGGTGAATTGCAATGTATCAACCTACATTTGAAAGGCGCAAATTGACCCTCACATCGTTAGGAATGAAAGGTTGTAACCATGGCAGGCCTTTGAAATGACATTTTGCTATTTTTAAATGCCATGCTGCTGTATAAATATTGCGGGAGGAGAAGAATAGGAAACATAAGTGCCCCTTCCTGCTTCCTGTTTCCATATATCATCATATGCAAAGTGTAACTCTAGCATCTCTGCCTACAGTCAGATGTTTGGCAGGAACAAGCATAATGTTTGGCTTTATCTCTCTTCCCTACTTAGTCCCTTCCATCAGCTAAAGCTATACCTTTGCCTGAGATGCATGAGGGGGAAATCATACAGAATGTAATTCATTGGTTTTTGTTACATGGTGCTCCAAAGAATGAAGAACTAAAAGCAAATTTTATTTATTTTTTAATGTTCAGGCTCTTGCTCGAACAACAATAACAAAAAGCTTACTAACTGATAATTCGTTTATCTATAAAGCTGCTGTATTTTTCTTCTAGGACTAAGATGTGGTTTTGTAAGATCTAAATTTATAGTCCTTTTAAATAACCTTAATAGTTGCCATAGCTACTTACATACTCGGCAGCTTCTTAGGTACACTTAAAAATGCAAACTTGTATTTTCAAATATATATTCTGTGCTGTTTTACTTTTAAAATGTTACATTTCAGATGATTCCAATGTGAGCCCAAGCTTTAGGCAACTTCAAGACTGCAGAAAGACATGGAAATAGGTATATGAGCTAGGGTAGCCTTCTTGAGTATAGTGCATAAGGGTGTTAACCAACCAATCCTCAGTTCATATCTAATCCTTTAAAGCCCTAAACGGCTTCGGCCCAGTATACCTGAAGGAGCGTCTCCACCCCCATCGTTCTGCCCGGACGCTGAGGTCCAGCGCCGAGGGCCTTCTGGCGGTTCCCTCATTGCGAGAAGCAAAGCTACAGGGAACCAGGCAGAGGGCCTTCTCGGTAGTGGCGCCCGCCCTGTGGAACGCCCTCCCATCAGATGTCAAAGTGATAAACAACTACCTGACATTCAGAAGACATCTTAAGTTGTTCAGGGAAGTTTTTAATGTGTGATATTTTAGTGTATTTTTGGTTTCTGTGGAAGCCGCCCAGAGTGGCTGGGGAAACCCAGCCAGATGGGCGGGGTGCAAATAATAAATTATTATTATTATATAATCCCACCCAAATTCACTAGCCTTTGTATATGGTGCTGTTGCTGTTCTTAAATGGCTGTAATGAAGATTACCAAGATAATGGTTGGGATTCAGAAAACCAGTTAGGGCAATGAAAATAGGTTTGCACTAGCTCAGTGGGTTTTGTTTTTTGCTTTGACCCCCATATTATCATATACCTGCTTTTTAAACCGTTTGCCATATAGATTGGAGGCTTACTGTTTTGAGAATTGCTTTAAAATTCCTGTGAGCTTACAAAACTAGTTTCATTGTTCTTTACATCTTGACTAATGCAATGCATTTGGAGCACTTGAGTACTATATGAATGCTATCCTTTATACTTGTTAGCAGTCACTTAATTTCATTTCCAAATCCTGAAAATAATGCTTGGATCAGCCACAAGGGGGTGAAGTAACACCACTTAAAGTATTTGCAAAGTTTGTCTGAAAGAGAGTGCTTGTGCTTTTAAAACTCTATTTTTGCTGGTGTGTATAATTTGTCAGATATATTCCAGATAAATTATACATCTGACCAACCTCTCCTGCCAAATAGCCACAGCAGTTACTAGCCTTCAGACTCGTAGTATGTTAACTTGCTATTCACACCTATATTAGTCATATGTATCCATGGCCTCTTTGCCTGAATGGAGCTGAAAGAACCTAAATTGCTTTCAGACAAAGGGCTCTTAGTGCTTTCAGTTCTGCTTTCTGCTGCATCCAGAATTGCAAGCAAGCATTGACACATGAGAGTTATAGCACTCTTTCAGTTGTGCTTTCCATTATGTTTAAATAGTGGGCATGACTTATTGTGTGAGAAGTATTTATCCCTCCTTTTCCTCCCACTCCTCATGGTTGTGTTCATTATTCATATCCTGATGTTGCTTTCTGTCCTTCTACCCCCTTTCTCAGTAGTAACTAAATAAGAACTGCCAGCCATTAATTGTTTTTCTCCCCCCCCACCTTGCTATTTCCTCCCCCCCCCCGCTAACTCATGCAACAGAAAAGGGTTTGCTTTTTTGAGTCTCAGTAGCACAGACTTAAATTTATTGCTAGTGTGTAGAGTAGGGGTGGCTAACCTGTGGCCCTCCAGATGTTGCTGGACTACAACTCCCACCACCTGTGAATATTAGCTCTGTTAGCTGGGGCTGATGAGAGTTGGGAGTCCCAACAACATTTGATTGGTCATTAGTTAGCCACCCCAGGTGCAGGGAGCGTGGGCACCCTCTTGTCCATGTCAGCCCAAGTCTTCACTCGCAGGGGCAACCTTCTGGGGGCCTCATGCCAGTAGTGTGTGGGACTATTGTTTTTGTCCAAGAGGCTAAATTCCAGCCATACAAAAGTCACAGGTTCGTGTTCTCTCTCTCTCTCTCTCTCTCACACACACACACACACAAAATCCAGACAAACAACAGGCATTCTAAGTTTTCAAAGACAGACTGCAGCCAGCAGACAAAAGCACCCAAGAAAGTAATGGAGCAGGGCCAGTGAATAGTGTAGTTCTAGAGCAGCGGTTCTAAACCAGTGGGTCCCCGGATGTTGTTGGACTACAACTCCCATCATCCCTGAGCTCTGGCCTTGCTAGCTAGGGGTGATGGGAGTTGCAGTTCAACAGCATCTGGGGACCCACAGGTTGAGAAAGGCTGTTCTAGAGAGTCCCCGAGGGCTACACAAAGAGGCCTCTGAGGCAGCATTCATCCCTTCAGTACATTGTTTCAGCTGGAAACTTTCCAAGTGCATTTCATTCTGATTCACTAGATCCTTGCTAGCTCATCTCCCGAAGGCAAAATGTAGCTAAGATGTTTGTGAGGAGACACAAAATGTCTGTGAAATTGTGCTCTCCAGCAGTATCATATTTCATACTGCTGGTCACACTTGTTTTTAAAATAGAGTAATTTGCAAGCATGGGAAAGTTCTGAAGAGGTCTGCTAAATGATTTCTTAAAGAGTTTTAGGACATTAATCAAGCATTTGACCAGTCCAGAAATATGGAAGATAAATACAAGTTTATTCCACTCATGATGCTATTTCCCCCATTCCATTACCCTTGGTTTCCTTTTGAAGTTGAATTTTTAGTATTAAAAGGAAAAAAACACTATAAAAGGTTTTCCATTTCCATTATCATCTACTCCTTCCTTCTCCCTTTTCACTTCCACTATCTTTTTCTTAAAGAATATACCAGAGTTGTATATAGGGCAAGGTCTGGTCATGTAGTGGATTTCTATGATGCCTCATGGTTCATTTAGTGGCATATTTAGTAGCTGTTATAACTTTGCTAAAATGTCATACCTGTATAGACAAGTATCCAGTCTGTTTACTAGTAT